TTTTCTTCTTTCTGTTTTATAATAGTGGTGCTTACTAAGCGCGGTTTCGAAATAATTTGGTGAAAGTGCAGTTTACATGGGCTAATTAAAATATTGACAAAACAAAGTAGCTATATAACGTTGCTTGCGGGGTAGGAGGCACGTAAATCAACATCGAAATTACCAGTGGCATCACCACAGCCCATGTTGTAGTTTACATTCGATTCCTTTGTCGAACCTTGCTCTTGAGCAAAAGCATCTCGGCAGGTGCCTAAGTGGAATCTGTACGATCCGCGATAGTTACCTTCCAGTTGGCCATCTAGTATTACTCTAGAATACTAGTACCATGCATTTCTCTATGCCTGTTATGAGGAAATCGTCGCGAATCTGCCTTGACTGCCAAAAGGGGTACATGTATTCGGTCACGCCCAAGATAGCAATGCACCGCGATCAAGTGAAAGCGAGCTTCTTGGCATACTCAGTGTTACCTCGACTTGCAGACTACCTGTTTCCCCACTTGGATGATAGCATGGGATACGCTTTCCATTTGTATATAGTATCTGTACAGAGACTACAATACTTGTACAAGGGCAAATCTCAGGAATCACAAGCCGTGAATTGTTGCGTGAGTGCATGCATTTAACCCCTAATGTAATACTTCGAAGTAACGTAGGTACATGTACCAAGCAAATTGCATCTTCATTTCCTGACGCTGTACCAGAGAAGAGAATGCAAAAAGCTCGCGCCCCTGTATTAGTAGAGCAACACGCTTTGGGCAACTATTTGGCTCTTGACAGCGTTCAGTTTATTCTGCGTACATTCGCCATGCACTTTGATACATGTAGTCATTCCATAGGCCAACTCGACTGCAACTCGACAACGAATACTGTTTCACGGCTTTCTCGGTGTGAGTTCTTGTATCGCTTTCATCAGAGCCAAGTGAAAACAATCCTGCAAATGGAGGTATGAATTAGAGGAAACTACGCAAAGTTTAGTGCTAAAACGCAAACTTGGACGCCACACACTCAACCTCTACAGTGCATCTCCCATTTCTACCTGCCAATAGGTATGCTTCGTAAGCATTGCTTACACAGTAGCCCAACACATCCGAAGTTTAATCCCGATGGGACCATTACTGACACTTGCACTAAGAGTCCGTTGTGATAACGCACTGCGTATCGGAAACCCCACAGTTACGACCGACGTAAGGGGGGACGATGTGGACACGACCACAAACGTTGATTTACGTACGAGTTCTACCTTCCCGAAATACAGTTGGTAGGCACCACTTTGGACAGCATGCTGAGCTGTACTTCGCTCTCGAGCTTTGTGAGCGCAAAATCGTTGATCACTTTTCAACTCGACGCCCAACACGAGATTGTTAGCGATGAAATTCGGCGCTCTCCTCAGCGTCGCAATCGTGAGTCTCGCCACGGCTCAGAAGCTCGAGGTGGACAAAGCTACGTCACTGAACGAGACTCAAGAGCAGCAACAACAGGCGTCAGCTACTGGTGATGCGTCGGCCAGCCTGCTTGATTCCACGTCAGGTTCGCATGATCTGAGTGCTTCCACGAGCGCTAGTGGCTCCTGGGACGACGTTTTCGTTGGAGATTCCGACTCCGCTTCAGCTTCGGCCCCTGACGAGAGCGGTAGCTCGTCAGAAGCATCGGTTGAGTCTTCATCGGCGTCAGACTCGTCGGATCCTCAAAACTCTGGTGATTCTAGTGGCTCTGAGCTCTCGGGCAGCGACGAGATCGATCAGAGCAGCCTTTTCGGCTCCATGTCGGATTCGGGGGTAGCAAGTGCTGATACGGGCGCCAGCGAGTCCTATGATGGTAGTAGCGCTGAGTCTGAAGCAGCCTCCGGATCTACGGATACCGAAGAGAGTAGTAGCTCATCGGATACTGCTGCGGCTTCAATGTCCGACGATGCCAGTGGATCGGGCAGCAGCAAGATGGACCTAAGCAGTTTGCTCGGATCGGCTTCGGGGTCACAGAAAGAAGACACTTCTAACGCCGCCAGTGGGTCCTCGGTCGATGTATTCGAAAGTGATTCCGAAGCTTCAGCATCTACGTCTACCGCTTCATCGTCTACTGCGTCATCCGATGATACTAGTACTTCTGAGGCTTCAGGAAGTAATGAGGTCGACCAGGACGATTCTAACTTGGAATCACAGGAAGCCAGCGCTGCCACAAGCACCAGCGAGTCCTCGGACGACAGTGAAGCTGAGTCCGACGCGGCCTCGCAAGAATCTGCAGCTAGCGAAGATAAAGGCAGCGCATCGACTTCCTCGTCGTCACCTTCAAGTGGTTCTGCATCATCGGTTAGCGACCAAAACAGTCTGGTTGACTCCACCTCGGGATCACAGGATACCAGTACCCTCACAAGCTCTAGCGGATCTTCAACCGATGTTAACGTTGGTGATTCAACTCCTGTACCTACTGCAGCCCCAACACCCGCGCCGACGCCAGCTCCTACACAAGCGCCTGCACCTACGACACCTCCCATCTCTGTTGAGGATTCCGTGCAACTAAGTGAAAGTTTCGGTGGACCTCATGGAAACGAGTTTTCCGATAAAGCGAGTGCCACTTCCGGTCAAACTGTTGCCTCTCTCACCATCCGAGCAGGTGAACGTGTCGATGGAGTTATCCTCGACATCACTGCACCCGTAGCAATGACATTCAATCACGGTGGAGGCGGAGGAAACCCGAATACTTTAACTCTAGGTCCTGGTGAGTACATTACGTCCATGGAGGCTCATTGGGGAGAGAAGAAAGGCCACACCCGTATATTCTACTTACGCTTCGAGACGAGTGCCGGTAACTCGGTTGCGGGAGGGTCCTGGACAGACAATAGAGCCACGGTTAAAGCTCCAGAGGGTTTTCAGCTCGGAGGGTTTTTTGGCCGTGACGGTGATGAAATCGATCTACTGGGTGCAATCTGGACGAGTATCGTGCCCATTACCCCGGCACCGGGAGCACCCACGCCGGCACCAACGCCGTGGGTGGAAAAGATCATCGACCACGACGCAGTGGTACCGTTCAAACAGCCAGAGCCTGTCACGATCTCTGAAAAAGCTGCTATTAAGTTTAAACCCCAACTTCACATTACCAATGGATGTCATGCATACCCTGCAGTGAACGCAATTGGAGAGACCAGTGGCGGTCTCAAGACCAGCGGTGCTCCTAGTGCGGGTTGTAAGGGATCTGGCTGGGGGTCACAGGTGTACGGACGTTCGACGTGGTACAACGGCGTCTGGGCCATCATGTACAGTTGGTATTTCCCTAAGGACTCGCCCTCTACTGGTCTGGGCCATCGTCATGACTGGGAACACGTGATTGTATGGATTGATAACCCTGAGATCGCTGAGCCGAAGATTCTCGCTGTCACTCCTTCAGCACACAGTGGATACTCAGCTCAAGTTCCTCCTGATGCCAATAAAGTTGACGGTACGAGTGTCAAGGTCAAATACTTGAGCAAATGGCCGATCAACCACGCACTGGAAAGCACAGGCGAGGGTGGAGATTATCAGGACCTTATCATGTGGGGACAGATGACCGATGCAGCTCGGGAGGCACTGAGCAGGACAAGCTTCGGTGATGCCAATGTGCCCATGAACGACGGCAACTTCGAACCGAAACTTGGCAAAGCGTGGCCATTTAAATGAGCAACGCATGTGCACGTAAGACGTTTATAAATGTGTGTAGGAGTGCATTTATGCGTTTATCCTGCGTTAACTGAGGCGCTATCATGACCGGTATCACCCGAGGCAATAGTTAATTAATCTAAATAAAAATTGAAAGACTTTGTTAATGATTTCAGTCCACAACTTGGAGATTCTTTGGGTAGATCCCATCCCGGTCTTTTTCCGAGGTTGGACATCGAAATGATCTGCTCTGTGATCTGTCATGGACAGTTCACATGACAAGTCATTGACGACCCTACAACGTCCATGACGAGGGAGTAGTGGTCATGTCGTTGGAAGTCATCCTTGCCCAGAACGAGTGCTGCCAAAAATACCAATTATAATACAGCTTCTCCCAAACAAGTCACTAGGCACTTTACAGGCATGAAGGTCAAAGTTCACGTCAGCGCGCCTGAAACATGGATCACGGCACTACCCGAGAGCCTCAAGCATGAGTTCTCGCTGGAGGAGCTGGAACAGATGAAGCAACAGGTTAAGTTAAACCTTTAACCGCAATGATTTGCTGTAGAGACGGTGATTCCGACTATTTTTTTTTTTTTTACCAGTTTTCAGATTTTGATACAAGTGGCGACGGTAGCATCGCAGCCTCGGAGCTCATCGTTCTAATGGAATCGATGGGGATCGCAACCACACTTGAAGAGGTACGCAACTAGCGTACAAACTTACGTTTCTATTTGTTTGAAATATGGCTGGGGTCTATACAGGTGCAGGAGCTCATTGACAAAGTTGATGAGAATCGGTCTGGTGAATTGGAATATCCAGAGTTTGTTCGGGTACGTTAGATTTTTTTTACTTTACTCATTTTTTCAGACACCCTAACCAGGTTAAAAACCAGCTTGTGAGCGATATTCGACGAGGAGACGGAGACAAGTTGGCAATTTTTCTTCAATACTCCAAGCACGTGATGACTATTCGCCGTGAGCTCATCGACCTGAACGCTCACCCTACTCTCAACTCACAAGTTTTCGGTATAAAAGGTTAGTGTACTTAAAAAGCTTGACACTGGAAATTGTACTATACATTTTTCATTTCTCGTCAACAGAAAATGCTTGGGAATGGAAAGTACTCATTCAAGGACCTTCAGACTCTCCGTACGCAGGTGGAGTCTTTAATTTCAATGTTAGGTACGTTTAGTCACTTGTGCATTATTACTAGAACGACAACCTGAATGATACGTGTAGATTCGGGCACGAATACCCGTTCGAACCACCAATATTCAGCTGTTCGACTCGTATCTACCATCCCAACTTCGTTCCGGTAAGTAATTTATTCCATCTCTTTTGTCTGCATCCTTTCTAACGTATTGACTCGAAAAAGCTCCTGAATGGCTCCATGTCGCTCTACGGTTTGCTACGTCGCTGGGATCCTGAGTGGCGTATGCGACGTCTTCTCGAAGAAGTCGAGAAGATACTCGCTACGCCGGATGAAGAACTTATTAACGAGTTTGAAGCTGAAACAGCGGAGATGCTAGTGGGAGGTGGAGTCGACACTCGATCTGCTATCACTTCCATCATCGCTAGCGCCAAATCCAAAGCTGCCCGACACCCACGGGTTATCGCACTCGAGTGTATCGCCATATACCGGAATGACCTCAATACTTTCAACCGCGAGGCCCGAAAACTCACTCTCCAATGTGCAACTTCATCAATGTAGCCATCAGCCTAGAATGGCTACAGTTTATGTATCGATGTTCTCTTAAGCCTTTAGATGTATTGTTCTTATATAGAGATGTCGATTGATTGGGTCCACAATTGGCGAATCGATCATCATGCTGGCGCAACAACAGGAAGTCGAGGCGGATGTATGTGATCTAGGCGCCCATGGACATCTCCAATACCTAATACTGACCGTCTACATACCCACCAGGTCCGCAAGGAGGACCAGCTGCGTATCAACGAGTTTGGTCGCAATAACGCGGCGCTGCACGAGATCCGCGAGCAGAAGAAGGCGCTCAAGGACAAGCTCGACACTCTGGACGACGCCAATACGGACCTCATGATGGGCGAGGGCGACAACGTCCAGTGCGTATTGCACCCTCCAATGTATTATATTTTCTACGACACTGACACTAGTGTCGATTCTGCCAGGCTATTTATTGGGGAGAGCTTCGTGGAGGCGTCCGAGGATTTTGCCCAGGAGTATCTCGAAAAGCGCGTGGAGGTGGGTGGAGAATACTAGATGTAGCCATTCGACGATATTGACGGGGCTGTGTTGCGTTGTTTAGGAAGCCAACAACGAGCTTACGAAGCTGCAGGCGGAGGAGTCGAAGCTCGAGGCCCGGCAGGCGGTATGTGACTAGACATTAACGATGTATAGTGTGGGGTCTGATGGTTGTTTGATGGTATTAGGCGTTGAAGAAGGTGCTGTATGGGCGCTTTGGCCAGAGCATTAATCTCGAAGATAAATAGCTACTTCGTAGACGTCAGCAGGGGCAAGAAACAAGTCGGGATAAAACGAATTTCGTTGTGGTTTTTTTAGCTTTCGAGCACTATTTCACCCAGGTTTTATCATACTAACCATTTGTAGCGTGAGTTTTTTTCTTCTACGAGAAGATTTTCAGTGTGCCACATGGATTCTTCCAGTCGCGCAATGAACTCGTCGTTTAACGCTTGTGCATCGTAATATTTCGCTTCAACAAGCTCCCAGGCATTCGGTGTGACAGCGTCTTCAAGTGCCAATTGGATTAAAACAGCGTGCAAATGAGCACAAAGTGCGTCTTGAGGCGTTGCATTCTCCTCCAAAGCCAAGTCAATACGATGCGCTCCTCGTTCCATGAGTGTCAAGTTCAGCAGATACTTCTCCACACCATAAAAATCCTTCAATCGGCCAAGAATATCTGGATTATCCTGCGAAAGTTGATCCAACGTAGCATCCTCGTGAATTACAGATTTGTCGTGCAATGTCTGGTATCCAGTTAACATCGTGGGGATGAAAACTTCTCGCTCGCTCACGGTCTTCATACTAGGGATCTCGCGAGCTTCTGATGATGGTTTCAGGAAGTGTGTGGCGATAATATGCAGACGCTGGCAGTTCAAGGTACGCAACTGCACACAGTCTACGGACTTGTACGTGCTGATCATGTGAACTGCCGAGAGTACAGAGAACGCAGCCACAACATTCAAAGTATGCGCTCCAGTCCACTGCGAGATCAAAATTCCCAGTCCTGTACCAAAGATCGACGACGCGATCCCTTGAGACCCCGCCTTGGCCGTCACATCTGCCAGATTTTCTCTAATTGCAAACGAATTGTGGAAACCTGCACGTGTTGCACTAGCACTCAACCACGCCACATTTTTGGCGACGTTTGCCAGTGATGCAATTGCCAGGAAACTCCCTGGTGCCAACGGAGTTAAGATCTCTCCAAGCACAGCTATATCCAGCGCTATGGACGACGCTATACGCCAACGTTTCGGGTCTGCATCGTATCGGTTGTTGACGATACTGGCAAATAACACCCCTCCAAATTGTCCCAGTCCGTCCTTGAGTACCCAATTCACTGCTGCGGCAGTGGGGATCGCTCCAGCGCCTAGGCCAACAGCGTATAATAGTGATTGCATTGACAACACACCGGCGGCACAAGACGCTATGGAGCCCACGAAGCTCCACTTGGCGTATGGGAAATAGTCTTTGGTCACTGATGTATGGGCATCTTTGGGCAGGAATAAGTCCCAAAGCACATTATACAGCCATGTGCTTGTTCGTTGCGCTGCCGCGAAGCTCGAAGCCTTCGTGGGTTTGTCAGTCTGTTGACTCCACAATCCTAGCGTTCCTCCAGTCTTTTCCACTTGAAATTTGTGTTGTTTCGATTGGGAATCCGCTGGGAGGACGTGGTAGATGGAGCGTCCTCGGGCGAATCCGTTAGCTTGCGAGGCGACAGGCACCCGAGAGGTAGAGGAGGTTGAGTAGAGCGCGGCTAGAGGACGGAGCAGTGGAGCACGTGGACATCCACGCAGCATGAGCGAGGGACACCGTGCCACTCGCAACATTATCCGATAACACCGACGCTTCAAAAGGTACAGGATTGGTCGGATCAAAAACCGACTTCAAGTTGGATGGATACTTTTGCTTCGGCATAGAGTTGGAAACGATAATATTTTGCCGAATTCTCTAAGCTGCGCAATATTGCAGCCTCAAAATAGCCTAACAGACCGGATGCACTCTTTGCTGTCTGATACCTTCATCCTCTGCATCGGCACCGAAGATCGTGCAATAATGGGCATAGGCACGCGAGGGGGGGGATGTCACGCCAGTCGCAAGACCCCAACACAGCCAGTGCGGCAGCGATATATCCATGGTATCTGAATCATATCATGTGCAACCGACTGCGAAATCATTCACGATAGCGACTTGCTTGCTAGCAAAGCTTCAACCGAGCGCACTCGAAGACCGCGCGTAGCCAAGTCAGCTTGCCAGATTTTTTTTTTTTTTTGGTGTAGGCAGCCGCTCGAATGCATTTTTTTGATTATGAAAACACCATAGTGAAAAAAAGAGAGACATTTTCTTGAGATAAGACCGCATGGAAATGTACCCCTGACATTCATTCACCCCATCGTCCATACTCAATCCAAGTATAACGTTTCGAACCTCACAGAAATCCCGTGGAGACCTTCACCACTTATGATACATCATCATGATAGCTTCCAGGATTCCACGCCATCAAGACAAGACCTGCTCATTTCCCTAACTACCCTCAAGAGATCACAACAGTATCAACATGCTGGCCTGCGTAGCGACCAGCACTCCGTCGCCTGTGCGGCTGCAAATGCCGGCAAATGAGCACCACCAGCAGCTCCAGAAGGGCCCATACACGATCATCAAGGAGCTCGGCTCGGGGCTTCACGGCCGCGTGCTTCTGGCCTATGACGACCGACTACAGCGCGATGTGGCCGTCAAGCTCCCGGCTGCGCTTACAGTCGACTCGCTCTCGACAGACCGCGTAAATGTGGACGAACTGGAGCACCAGGTGACGTCTATTGTGCACGAATGCAACGCAATGCGTCGCGTACAGCACCCCAACGTCCTGCAGATCGACCGGTTAGTGTCCGGCAAGAAAGGTGACTACGACTACGTGGCCATGGTGACCGAATTCACGCCAAACGGCGACATGTTCGACCTGTTAGAAGTCGGTGGAGCTCTTCCGGAACCACTAGTAAAAGTGTACGCGTGCCAACTACTACGCGCATTGGAGGCTTGTCATGCCAATGGTGTCGTGCACCGAGATGTCAAGCCGGAAAATTTGCTGCTGGATGCCAATTATCAGCTTAAACTCGCTGATTTTGGCGTGGCAGCAATGGCACCATTGGGACAAGATGCCACTGAAGTTTTCTCGCGAGACGAGAGCGGAACGGCGCTGTATATGGCTCCAGAGATCAGGTCCAGACGGATGTACCGCGGCACTCCAGTGGATGTTTGGTCTGCGGGCGTGGTGCTATTTATCTTGATCACGGGTCTACCGCCGTTCAACGAAGCGAGCAAGGGAGACGCCTGGTACGACGACCTTCTGGATGGAGATTTGGAGCACTTTTGGTCATCGCAGCCGGGAGAAGTAGTCCAGACAATCACTCCTGGAGCTCGGGACCTCATTTCGTCGATGCTTGTGGCTCCGGATGAGCGCATTACGGTGTCAGAGGCTTTGCAGCACCCGTGGCTTCGAGGTGCAGACTGCGTGGATCCATCTTTGATTCGCCACGCCGTGTCGACTCACCTCGAGGCGGCTCTTGCTGCCAGTAAAATGGAGACGGCTTGAATGCAAAGAATAGTGTAGATAGGCAACTGTTATTTATCAATTTGCAAGAAATGTAACATACTTTTGGTCTCATACTGTGGCAACCTTCTCCTTACAAGTTATAGTAATCGACGATAAAAATTTGTATTCAGCTAAGATTCGCTAATTAATTTTCGATGGGGACAACGACTATTCAAAGTGAAATGCAACAACTGAGCAATGTAGCTTGATAATAGTTGCTCTGTATTTATACACACAAAAATTGACCTCGTGACGTACACCAAAATGAGGCCCGATGTAACCCAGGCCAATGTGAATGGCCTTTTGTCAACCGGTCGCATGGCTCTATACGACATGCATAATAAACAACGTGACGGCACTGGCTTCCAGCTCTGCACCGAATGATAAATGGCGCGTCCTACGCGGTGCTGGTGCAGGCCGTCGAGCCCGTGTGCATGATCATCTGCCGCAGCTTCTTGATCGTAGGCGAGGGCTGGCCGTGCATGATGTTGACAAACGGCTTCCTGAACTTGTTGGCCGACACGGAGCGGCCCCGCACCGTCTTGAGCGTGTGCATCTGGAGCTGCAGCGTCTCCAGCTCTTCCGCTTGCGAGATTTCACTCGAGTTGTCAAAGAACTTGACGTTCTCCTTCCAGTTCATACGACGCCACAAGTGCAGCGAGTTGGCCCACTCCTTCATCAGGTCGTTGGTTGGAGCCGCGAACTCGGTTATACGCGGCTCGCCCAGCTTCATACGGCGGCCTTCCACTCGAACCACCTCGGCCACTGAGACTGTGAAGCGATGCGGGAACTTGCCAGGCGTGGTCTTCTCCACTCGCACCTTGGTGACGTGGCCAGCCATCTCGAGCTCGCCCACGATCATGCCCCCTTTTTCCGTGTAATACTGGACTACTCCGTTCTCGAAGACGCAGTAGATTAATTGCTGCACAAGCGCAACAACACGTGAGTATACGGGACTATCTATCTCGTGGTTTAGATTGATCGCACACGTACCGGTGGGTCGTAGGCATTGCGGCCGCACTTGATAAGGTATCCCTCTCGGTACATGTTACTCAAGGTTGCTACAGTAGCTTCTGGTGTGTGTGTGTGATATATCGCTCGTCGTCAACTGGACAGCGACAAAGTAGTAATGCTCCCGGGTGGGTGTTCCTCACTCGTATCTGCTTGCCCGTTTCAATCAGCCGTTGGTCTGGAAGAGTTCAGGTACGTGGCTCCTGAGCAAGAGGCCTGTCCGGGTATGTCTCTGGCTGGTATGAACGGACGCAAATTGCGCTTTGTGACGGAGACGTCGCCGCTTACTCCGTGCTGCTGCCGTGCTTCCCTTACGGCGCCGCTGAGCTTTTGCGTTCGACCACTTCTTCCACTCTGCTGGTGTCGATCACGCTTGATAGCGGGCAGATGGCGGAAGGCATACATTTTCCAAGTGTCTCTGATGTCACGCATCCTAACGCACTAGCCCAAGTGTCCAGTCTTTATTCGGTCGATACTTTCCGTCGCACCAGGCTGTCGTTTTAAGGAGCCAGACCGCACTTAAGCGGAGTATGCGTACCTACCCGAATAAAGTACGAAACGTACTTACTCGAGTAACTACGAACCCTCCTCATCGCGATACCAGCGACTTCAACATGATCACCTGCCCAAACCGATATCTTATTTATTAGGGTAATGTTGCGTCAAACGGAAGAGGCCACTAGGAGCAACACGTACTACCTGTCATTGCGCATTAGCCGATCGCGTAGCAAGTTACAGAACCTGCAATGGCTGACGCTGATAAGAGCCTCGCGCTGCTGGATGTGGACAAGTTCGCGCGCTATAGCAGCAGCACGTTCCGCGCCGACAAGTTCTACAAGACCATCGGCTATGGACTCGGTGCAATGGGCCACTTGATGGCACACGCGACGCAGCAGGAGACGGAGACGTCGAAAGGCTTCAAAGCCATCGCCTCGAACATTTCTATGGCTCGTTATGTCATTCGCTTCACAGGCGGTTTGGAGTCGTACGCAGCTTGGAAAAACGGCTCCTGGTGCTACGGAGACGACAGCGACCACGTCAAGCGCATCGTGAGTCTACAGGCGCTGTCTATGCTCGTCTACTACCCACTGGAGCACACCTCCTACGTCGGCTTTGTGTGAGTATGCTGAAATACTGGGACGATCTCTGAATTGCAAGTGTTGAAGGGATTCTGGTGGTTATGTTGATGTTGCAGTGCTCCGAAGTTGTTGAACGTTGACGCCATGCAGATCTCACGCCTGTCGTGTCGGGCGTGGGGTGTCTACATTCTGCTGGATGTGTATGCCAACGCTCTCCGGTGCGTTAAAATTGCTGGATTAGATGCGAATACGTGGTGATAATGCTGACTGTGATGTCGCTAGAATTCGTGCGCTGACAGCCAAGGAGAAGCAGATCAAGGAGCAGAAGGATCTGTCGGGCGAGGAGGTGATTGCAGCGTTTACTGTTTATGGTTTGGACTGGAATTGATATTCTCTTTGTGTTTTGTCTTACCTCCAGCGCACGACTCAGCTTGCCACCATCCAAGCTCGGTAAGACATTGAGTATTGCATTTCAATTGCTTACATAGTAGCATTATTTACTAAATCGTTTTGGGTATGTGTACTGCAGTCGCCGTGAGCTCTACTTCGTGCAGTTACGTAACTTCTTCTACGCCGGACCCTGCATCCACTGGTGTCTCGAGAAGGGCTTCCTCCCTGGTATGTACACATTTTTTTTTAGTGGTGGCGGTCCTGTTGCAATTGGTTATTGACATCTCCATGGATTAGACTATGTTGTGAGCCTCTCTTGCGCGGCCGAAGCTGCTGTTGGGCTGTGGCGCTCGTGGGTCAACACGCAGTAAGTATGCCACGTACGAAGTCCTACCATTCCAGCGCATAGCGCCACCAAGACGGAGCTAAAGAGAAAACTCAATCTATAATACATGAAGTGTCATTTTGAATGCATTTATTGCATACCACACGGATTATGCGTCCTGATTCTCAACAAATTATTGCACGACCGCCTCCTGTCCGTGCAAAAGCTGTTGTACCTTACTTGACAAACTCCCACTTGTTGACCATCATCTTGGAGATGCACTGCAGGGCTTGCTTCTGCACCTCGGCGTTTTCATGGGTCATGAGTTTCATCGTCATCTTCTTGGCGCCAAGTCTCTTGGCAATGTGTTTGCCGTTCGGGTAGAAGCGCACAAACTCTCCCAAGTCAAACAGAGCCACCGCTACTGTCTTCGGGTCATCGGACTCCAACAAATCGATCAGCAACCTGACAGGCAGAGCATAATTAACTGTCAGAAGCTAGACTATCGCATACATTTTTATAGTAACCACACGTACCGAATGAGCTCGAAGTCCTTGTTCTCAAATGTCATGAAGTTGTCCTTCCAAAATTTGTCCGTGTGCAGCAGACCCCAGTTTAGCGTTCCTGTACGCAGTTCCTTCTCATAACGCTCCATGGTGCTGTTATCCAAGACAACAAATACCTCATGGTCAGTCGTTTAACCCATACAAAGTACATTTATCAGTCAATACGTACTTGAGCTCCTTGTATTCGCGGATGAGCACGTCACGGATAGCCTGGATGCCCTTGGCGATATCTTCATCAGCCCACTTTCGCTCGCGCATGTTGTTCAGTGTCTTCAGTAGTCCACTGTCGATCATGCGTTCATTGAAGAAACCACTGAGCTTGCCGAGAAGGTTCTGCACGCAACATATTCTATCAATACGATGTTTGTGCTTGCAATACAGAGTATCAATCTCACCTGAAGAGCTTCTAAAGCAACACGAACAACTTTCTCTCGCGGAGCTGCTGCCACTTGCTGCACGATCGCATCCAATGCCTTGGCAGCCACGAACTTCTCCATAGCTTCGTCGCAAAATGCCAAGGTCCACAGGATGAACGTGAGCTGCGACGAGTAACATACATATTAGTATTAAACATAACGTAAGGCACGATAGGGTTGATCGCACCTCATACGCCAGTTGCGCTCGGTTCTGGGAGCTCTCGAGCAAGTCCACCACTCTGTTGTACAACAGTTTTATACAAGTGAGCAGACATGCACACTGCGATGCTGTAACAACAGTTCCTTACGGTAGCACACCACCAAGCTTAACGAACACCACGCGGAACTTCTCGTTACGCAGAAGCACCATCAGAGACGCAACCGCTGCACGTGTTACATTTGCGCGGGTCGAGTCGTTCGTCGATGTCGGCAATGCACCAGTCTTCAAGGCCTGGATCGCCCATTGGCACAGTGCCTCCGCATCCTCCTGACGTGGGCGAATTCTGATAACAACATTGTCATTTAGTCCTCAATTATTGACACTAAGTTCATAGATATGACTACGTACGTGAGGAAGAGTGCAAGTAAGTGGCTGGCTGCGTACTGCAAGTAACCGGTATCGTTGCGGATCATCCTCAAGAACGGAGCGGCGTCCACTGTGCTGCCTTCCGGTACGAAATACACCATGCGCTTGTGCAGACGCAGACCATCTAGAAACAATAGTAACCAGCTGCTGTGTTAGTCTTGAGCAGTTCTTTAGTAGTACAAACGATTGATCTGTACCAGGCAGCAACTCTTCCATTCGAGCTAGGCAGTACTTGAGCACCGTCGGTTCCGTCACATTCTTCACCAGTTTGAGCAGAGCACTACCCACCAACGGACCAGCATCTAGAACAAGCCACAACACGAGATAATTAGCATTTAGTAGAGCCTTTAAGCTATCGAAATTAAACTCTACTCACCGCTCATAAACTCATCCACGGCCTTGACCTAGAAGAACAGGATAAACCATAAATCTTCTTTAGAACCACAATATTTTCGACTGGCCTGCTGCACTCACATTGGTGGCGTCGTCAGCGCCGGGCTTGATAGCACCTTCCAGGTCTTTCAATGCTGTAATTTCCGCCTTCTCTAGCGAAAAGCCACCAGCACTAGGCGTTCACAATGCATCCGACATAGAATAAGTAAAATCACCAAAAGGCACCTGGTGAAACATCTTACCGCGTGTAGGTGGCCCAGTTAATGTCTCGGAAGCGGTGTAGCGCCTCCTCCCGAGCCAGCGCCACGTCCAGTGACCCACTGCCGGTCATGTTGATGGCCACATGGCTCTGTTTCTCCATCGCTCGGCCTGCTTGTTAGCTGTCTCCAGCGCTTGAAGCGATCCTTTCCCGTGCAAGATCGAATGTTGTGTGTTCCACATAAATGTGTTGATAGCTTATGTGGTACACATTTTATCTGGATTATCTTGGATTTTTCCCCGACGTCAGCAGCAGTTGTAAATTTGACGACAACCCAACTGCAGACGAAGATGAGCGCTACGCTGGCGAAGAAGATCTTGTTCGTGCTAGGCGGCCCTGGTGCTGGCAAGGGCACACAGTGTGCTAAGCTGGTGGAGAAGTACGGCTTTGTCCACTTGTCGGTGAGGAAAATACTGTCCAAGACGCGAGTGTATCACTAGTTCTGACCTAATTTATATCTTTTTTATGCTTAGGCCGGCGACTTGCTGCGTGAGGAGCGTCAGTCAGGCTCGGAGAATGGCGAACTGATCGACCGTATGATCAAGGAAGGCCAGATTGTGCCCGTGAAGATCACGCTGAACCTGCTGCAGCAGGCAATGGTCAAGAGCGGCCGCGACCTGTTCCTCATCGACGGGTTCCCGCGCAATTTCGACAACCTGCAGGGCTGGCAAGAGGAGATGTCCGAGGATGAATTCCAGGTGCAAGGTGTGCTCTTCTACGACTGCCCTGAGAGCGTCATGGAGGAGCGTCTGCTTGAACGTGGCAAGACCAGCGGACGCACGGACGACAACGCTGAGGCCATCCGCAAGCGCTTCCGCACATACCTCGATTCGACCATGCCCGTCATTATGCACTACGAGAAGCAGAACAAGGTGTTTAAGGTGGACGCCACCCCCGGCCCGGACGAGGTCTTCGAGGCCACCGCCGCACTCATTGGCCCCCTCGTCGACAAGTAAGCGTAAACTACCGCTCACAATGGCTACGGAGGCGAGCGCAACTACGAGCACGCGAGGGGGAACTTCTTCATCGTAGGATCAGATTTAATGCGATTCCTAGTGAATGAAAAGTACTTTTATGGCATTCAAACGAAAAAAAACCATTAAATTTTTAGTGGCTTTTTTTCGTCTGAATGCCATCCTAGCCAATCAGCTCGAAGCTCACAATGGCATAATCAAATCAAGTTCCTCTAAATTAGGAATCATGCTAACTGTAAATCTGAGCAGAGGCTTCAAATTCAAATTCCATCTCATCGTACAGATTTGTACGTGGCGGATCATGCGTTATCATAGTTTTCCTCTCATTAGTCATCGCATTTCCAGGTCATCGCGATGAGCTTCGAGGAGAGCGTCACGTCCTTCTACGTGGCGTTCGCGGAGCAGCAACTGGACCAGGTATGTCAGGCCTTGGGAGACATGCGTGTGTCAGCTAGACGTACGTCGGACGGAGACCAGGAGGCGGCTGCTGTACGCGACGAGATGTTACGCAACTGCGAAGCCAAAGCCCAGACGCTGCAAGACACCGCACTCTCCCGTCTGCAGCAGGCCTGCGCGGGCTCCGACGTGGATGTAGACGCAGCACTGACTGCCTTCGCTCGCTGTGCTGCTCTGAACGCCGCACAAGAGGCCGCGCCCAAGTTTTCCAGCTGCTTGAGTGGCATCTTCGCCACTCAAGCCCGTGCGAGTCTAGACCGCGTACGAGGCAGCAAACAGGCCGCGAAAGTCAATGAACATGGCTACATCGACCGAGCGTTCTACGTAGAATCGTTAAGCGAGCTGCTGACTGGCGCTACGGACATTATGAACGCTGTAGCGGATGTTACAGCAGATCCACTGGTACTCAAGCAAATACTGGAGCCGATCCACGCTTCATGTGCTAACATCGCGTTGCAAATGGTACAAATGTATGCAGACGACGCTCGAATGGTGGCGTGGGAACGTAGAGCTAATTCCCAGGCACAGAGAGACCCCAGACACGTGCTGGAGGGCGACGAAGTGGAGGCGGACGAGAGTTTACAGATGATCGACTTGTTTCTGGATGAACTCGCATTTATTATCCGAGTATTAGTGAGCTATACTGCGTTCCTAGCTACAGTATGTGAAGGATTGGGACAGAAAGATGGAGGATTCCAAGTGAAAGTGCAGGAACTTAGTGGTGTGTACGTTGTGCTCGAAAGATTCTACGTGTTCCAGTCGGTACACAAAGCCACGGCGATTGCTGAGCCCCAGGAACTGGAACAGGGAGTCTACGTGTCCAGTGTCGTTGAGGACGTGTCGTTCGTACTCAATAAGGCGTTCTTTAGAGCGTCACAATGGTGCGTTCAGTCAGTATTTATGATTATTTGCTGAGTTACTAATATTTTATTTTGATGTAGTATGAATTATCATACTGCTCTGTCGATTGTGATTGCGATAGTGGACGCACTGGAGTCACAGTATCTGCAAGCTATACTGGTACTACCTAGTCGACCGTGCGTGATCCCTCTGAGCTCCATTAACGCAGCAACTGGACAAGATGGCAACAACGAGCAAGAGGTGTCCTTTTCGGACATGCTATTGCAGGCCGTGGATGAAGATTTGCAGCGAACATTACAGGAGGAAGCGAGACTCATCATGACCATCAACTCGGCTTACATGAGCGGCGAGTTTGTACGTGCACTACAAGAAAAAATCGAGGAATATTCAAGCTCGAGTTTCCCGAATGATGCTCCTATTCTCGAGTGTCTACCGACGCCTATTCACGATATGACGGAGGCATTCCACTCAATTGTATCCAACGAGATACAGGAGATGCTCTCACGAACTCTTCACAAACGACTGCCTCAAGTGCTCAGTCGTTCAATGGATGAACAACTACAGTACGTTCTAACGTCAGCTCAATACGATGCACTCGGGTCGCAGGGCTCTCCTTTGGTACGACTAGTGGAACGAGAGATCCTGACAAATCGAGAGCTGCAACGGTATGAACGTGCACTATGCAGAGTTTCCTTTGAGGACCTCGTTGAAGCAGCCACGCAATACTTAACGTCTTGTGTGGAAAACGCGCTTCTCTCGTCCAAGAAACGCTGCAATGATTTGGGTGCGTTGCAACTGGAACGTGAAGTCACTGACATGTTGACACGCATGTCCACGCTTGTGCCGCAAAGAAGCCTTCGTGGAGCTTTTACCCGACTCTTTCAAGTCGTGTTTATCCTAAACTTGATGCAGCCAGCACACGTTCTAGACTACTTGGCGAGCTTGCGTGAGGAGTTTTCTATGGAAATTATTGAAACACTCCTGCGCATGCGTGTAGACTTCAAAAGCCAGGATATCGCGCGTGTGATGGATCAAATTTCCAAGACCGACACAAAATCCACAAAATCTTCGTAGCAAGATCGACTTTTGTGTAACTCTACATATCATAGACGAAAGTGAGACTGTGGCATGTTCGTTCTTTTTGATAAAACTATACATGCGTGGTGCACCTCTATTAGTTTCTATCCTATGCTATTTTAAAGGAAAAGCATTAGTAAAACATCTCTAATGGCCTATGGCTCTAACTATTTTTCTACGCACATTTTGGTTAGGACCTGTCATAGTTTTGGTGGAACAAATCGGTCTTCAAAGCCCTGTATCGAATTAAGAGTCGGCTTCAAAAAAAAAAATGCATATATATTTGGACTACACAAACAATAAAAGCATCTCAAGTGGTGTTGTTCAATCCATTCTTACTACAAGTGCCCAGTTTATCTTCATTTCGGATATGACAACACATCACGTGTATTTTTGGTATCTACTCTATGCTATATTTTGAAGCATTTATGTTTTCCTTGGTGAGGTGATAACTAAGTGCTTCATGCTCCACATTTCCACGCAATTGTCAGAATTCCGACTTATATGGAAATTCCTTCCCTCTACGTCAAGACAGCGAACAACCAGACACAAAATTGTGTTCTGCATCACAGTGAAGGTCCTATATTAAACAGCTGAATACCTAAGTACAAAGTAGTCCTGAAGACACAAGCCAAGATCAGCCAAGATGCAAGTGAAGTGAACACGAATTCTATGTTGGTTTGACTTTGCGAATTTTGAGATAGGCCCCGAGCTCTGCGCTCAGCTGCGAAGCCGACGAGTGTCTTCTTCATCACACTTCTTGATGCTCTTGTTAAAGAGACGCTTCCACCAATTCGTGAATCGATTGCATTCCCCGTCGTGAGTGACGCCATTCGAGTTCATCAACCCAATGCTAGTGTGGGTCCCGTAAACCTGATTGCTTGGTGTATCATTATTTGTTGCCATTGCGTCCCCGCCACCAATTCTACGCGCTCTTTCCTCATCAAAGTCGTGATCAGACAATTGGCGAGTCGATATATGGTAGCTAATATCTTCCGTGGTTTGTATCGAATTGGGATCGATCACGGTTTTCTCAGCGACCTTACTGGCGGCGACTGTGATGCCATTGCTGACACCAAGCAGGACGGCCATGATGGCCAGCGCAGGACGGAGGAGGCGCATGCTTCTTGTTTCTCGCTGATAAGTCAGATTGTTGCGGCTGGCGTGAATTGCAAAGTGGAACCGTACTGGTTGCACTAACTCTGCAGGATTCATGTAGCACGATTTTTGAGCCATACCGTTATATTGGAGTCCAAGTGGCAGTCGTTATCTTCAGCTTTGACGCTTAGTCAGAATTAAAAATACTAATAGCATGCGTCTAATTTATGTCAATGAGATTGGTTGGTTCGTGTCGGGCTCTAAAGTATAGGATTTTGGACGCAGGACTGAACCGGAGCACGCATTCCACATATACTAGTGCGCTACTTGTACGTGGTAGCGATAGTCGGATTAAACCTTTCGCGCGGAAAGAGCGCAAAATTCAAAACTCAAAAAGAAGAATTTTTATAGTAAGTTAAACAAAGAGTGTTTTGGTAGAAAAATTGGTAACCCACAAGTCTCATGAGACCTGTGAGAACCATTCTATAAATCAATTTGAGACTTCTCATACCTAATTCACTACCAATTTCCTTTATTGCAAATAAAACATATTCCACTAAACCTGGCGACCACCGAAACCGAAGTCGGCAATAAACTTGCGCGACATCATCAACGTATAGTCTCCGATACGTTCTGCGCGGTTTGTGAGCTGAGAAAACACTTGTTTCACGTTCAGTTCACTTGAATTTCCCTTCCTGCCTCTACATGAGACCAAGGGTCGGAAATAAATATTGCAATTCAATAAATTATTGATTCTAAAAAAAAGAATATTTATTATTGGACCGACCCATTCTAATAAAATAAAAATTGACCCAATTATTGGTAAATATTTAATGAGAGCCCCTGAACTAAATTTCAAGCAATTTATGATGTCCTTACAAAAAGCGTATTTCAACCTTGACCGCACGATATTGCCTCATTTAGCTTAAACTAGATAACTCTAAGTAATTTAACTTCGCAATAACAGTGCTCTGATGTCATGTGAGAAGTGAATGGTTAGTTGCTTTCAAAAATCGCAACACCCAATAAATTATATGCAGACAAAATGTCAGGTCTTAAGCTGAGACTGTCGTAGTGCTGTTGGCTACCTGTATCGTTTGCGTCTTGCTACATTGAAATGGTTTCATTATACGGAACCAGGTTACTACTTCAAAAATTCTGGTCTCTACAGATTCTAAAAGTCTCGCCAAAGAATGGTTAGTAATACCAACAGAGGAAACTATACATGTTTATAGATACATATAGACATATGTTTATCAGAGCTAAAGAGCTTGGCTAATTTGTACGACAGAATGACGTCCGCTGTTGTGAAAGTGATAGTAAAGTATTCGAAAGCATTGGGCAATAAGAATTTGCGTCAATATTGTTATTGTTTTTCACAACAAAGAAATCATGGTTGTCAAAACAGTCACCAATACACTTACTTTACTGTATTGGTGGGCACGTGGTCTACCGTGATGTGGCTGGGATGATCGTGAAATACATGCGTACCACTAGCGGCCACAGTTATTGATGTGTGTGATCTCATCGAAAAATCGATATTCATGGCATAGTACTATCAAAGTATTTTTAGCTTTGATAGAATTCACAAAATCACAAATAAAGACGAATTCAGTTTCAGATTGGTTGAAGAAAGCTTTGCTTTATGAAGATTTTAATGTACTCCAGGCCTATGGCACTAGCTCACAATGCGTTAGTCAACACTTTCTTCCGATGCATAAAAGTACACAGTATTGATCAACTCAGCTCGTTAAACGTGTGTCTGGCTGTCAATGGACACGCTTGCCTTGAATCGGCTAATCTGGCCGAGAAGCTTCGCATGACGTTCCAACCGCGATGGCTTACGATGCAGCAACAGGCTCCTTCTTTATTTGAACATTTTTGTCACTAATAAACTGCAATTGAAGTTCTTCGCAGCGAGTGTCGTATGCTTTGATCTCGTTATCTAGACACGACATGTCTGGAATTAATCAACGGCAATTCAGGTCGAAACGCTGTCTTTTCGACCACTACCATGGCGTGCGAGTTGCTTGTCACACAGAGAAAAACGCTTGAAGAAGCCGCTGAGGCCCCGCTCATTCATGAGACCTCATTATCTTTGGACCGTCAATCTTCTCGGTGTCAAGCCTCATAAAGCTGTGATGAGAAAGTTGAATCGACCCTCAATATTTAAAATACGAGGATGTCCAGCACTTTACCGATTAAACATAACGATGCATGCTACAAGTACAAGAACGGACGTGGTGAGGTTGTCACCGTGAGCATTTGTAATGACTGGCGAAACCGGCAACCGCTGCTTATTGGCTGTTCACAGGGGTTCCGAAAGCGCTGATTGGTCCGCAGGGTGGGTTCCGAACTTGTTCTGGGCACTTCAACGAGTCAATGGCTGTGAAAAGTTGCTCAGAAAGAGGACGAAGTGCGAGAGCTCATATAAATTGCTGCATCGCATTAGCAGGGAACTCTATTGAATGCAACCCCTCGCAAGACGCGAAGCATTTGAACTCGATCACTCTCCTTTTTGCCTCGTTTTGGGCAAGCCCAACGACTTTCAGCATGGATACCCAAATCGTCATTTCGTTGCTGATCCTCGCGTTTGTGAGCTGCGGTGTTGTGTACGACGTCGAACTGAGTCCTCAGGGGCGGAAGCTACACTCGAGGCGCTATCGGTAAGACAGTCAGGGTACATTTCTAACCTTGGAATTGGCTCATTATTTTTGTGTTGTGTAGATGGCGACGACTACAGAACTGGTTTCCCATGGGTATCGCCTATGCTGCATTCTACATGGCCCGGTATAACGTGGCTGCAGGAAACGTCTCGACAGTGCGCAATCAACTTGGATTTTCTTCAGTCTACATGGGCTGGTAGGTTGATCGTTCAGTGTTCGTATTCATATTCGTGTACTCTAAGTAAGAGCTAATGTCACTGTGTCCCTCTTAATTAGGGTCCTCTCCGCAGGGTCCTGGGCATACGCCATCAGCTCTCCATTCACCGGGCAGATCACCGACCACATCGGCGGGAGGAACGGCATGATCGTTGCCTGTGTTGGAGCAGCACTCTGTAACTTAGCACTCGGTGTGATCTTCCTCTGTAACGGATCCTTTCTTGTAAAGCAGATCCTCTTCATCCTGTTCTATGCGGCGAACGTGCTCATGCAAGGCTTTGGCACTAGTGCAGTTGTAAAGATCAACGCCGCTTGGTATTTGGCAAGTGAACGCGGAGTGTTTGCCGGGATCTTCAACGTCATGTTAACGAGCGGATACTACTTGTCGCTGGGCACCGGACACACTATTATTGAGTCATTGGGCTGGGCCTACGTGTTCATCATTCCTGGCGGTGCACTGCTCACAATGTCGATCGTAATTCTGGCTTTCGTGAAGAGCACACCGGCCGATACGATGCCACCCAACTGTCTTCCGACGCAGATCGCACACCAGGCCATGTCAAGCGGTGATAAGATGGAAGAGGAGGTTCTCACTCCTAAGCAGCAGATGAAGCAGCTTCTGAAGAGCTACACCTTTCTTGGATACCTTTCTGCGTTATTTTTCCTCTGCTGGGCTCGCGACGGGTTCCTCAATTGGTTCCTCTCCTTCTTCGACGATGTGCGTTCGGCACCGCTTACATCGAGTGACACTGCTATCATCGGAGGTGCCTGGACTATTGGGGGATTCGTTGGTGGTATCCTCTGTGGTTGGATCAGTGATGCTGTCTTCAAGTCGGACCGAATCAAGCCGATCTTCATCTTCTCACTTCTTCAAGCTGTCGTACTTGGAATCATCTACTTCGTTAGTGCGACGTGCAGCGTGGTGGTACTCGGAGCTCTCACATTCCTCTCAAGCGTATTTATCCTGGGTAACTACACGTTGCTGAGTTATACGGTGCCTACGGATCTACCCCAAGACATCGCAGCTGGTGCTACGGGCATTATGCACGCTGTCGGGTACTTCTCGACTGGTCTCTCCAGTGCCGTTATGGGCAACGTTATCGATGGCGCGGGGTACTTTGTATGGGTGATGTCGCTCATTGTGGCATCAGTGCTATCCGGTGCGTTCGTCAAATTAGGATCTCACTTCTCGAAATACAGCACACGACACAAGGCGGGGGCATCTGAGCCGACGACTGATGCATCCGAGGAGTTGTCGATCAGCTCAGAGTCGTTTGATGGTGATTTCACCATGATGGAGACCCCGAAGGCTGCAAACGCCTCACGATCCGTTTGACAGTGTACTAGGGTATGGATTTGTGCTCTACTGGAACGATTTTCACGGTCGTAGAACGCAAGGTTTTATTCTTAAACTATTCTAATAAAAATAAAACTGAAGCCAACTGAGTGAAGAACACTACGACTAATCATTTTGTGGGCGTAACCAAAACGCTGCTAAGTACGATTTATCGAAAGTTCAGTCACATTTCCTACCAAACGCGTGCAATGTCGAGTGAATTGCTGACGTACGAGTTCGTGTGCAAGCTGTCAGAGCTTCCGTCAGGCTCTAAGAAATGCGTCGAGTTACCGACGTCGCATCGCAGTGTCATGCTGCTCAACATCCGCGGGCAGGTTTTCTGCATGGACCAAGCCTGCTATCGTGAGTCGGAGGGGGAGCGCGTTCTGGTGGTGACGCACATACCTAATTTGTCATTTTTATACAGATCACGGTGGACCTCTGGTAAATGGAGACATCGAGGAACTAGGCGGCAAAGTGACGATCAAATGCCCGTGGCACGCATACCAAATTGCAGTGGAGACAGGGGAGGGTCTCTACAAGGGCGTAGATATGTCCATGACCCCGTCCGGTAAACTACAGCCGTCATCTCCCAGACTCAAGTCCAAGGGCGTCAAGCAACGTACCCACTTCGTAGAGCTGCGTAACGATGGACAAGATATCTACGTCGCGGATTCCTCTGCTATTCCAGGTACAACATTGACACATGACAAAAAGAGTGTGTTTGTGTTTAACTGTTTCTGCCTATTTCTGTAGGCGCATCAATGATCGGGTCGGATGTCTACGCCTTCCGCACTGCCAACATCCCCGAAGCCGCCAAGAAGGGCGAAGTACGGATCCACTCGCGCTTCGAATAGTCAGCAATACAAGCCAAGTCACTTCAGGCTCTTTAATTTATTGCATCCCCATCGTCACACCTCTCAGAGCAGCGACTTGGTCACAATACGCGCAGCCTCAGCACGAACAAAGAGCTTGGGACGGATGTATGGCTTCTGGCTCAACAACCAGTAGTTGGCATCTTCCATCGTCACTTGGTTGTCCATCTGGCGCGGCGCATACCTCGCCGAGATGCTCTCATTGACGCGTCCATCCACTTTGACCACGCCGCTCTTGTCTTGCTGCAACAATCGGTCCTTCAGATCCTTCACGGCGAGTTCTTCTATGTCCATCTCCGCTTCGTCTCGTTCGTCCTGGTTGAGTTTACTGCGGTCCACTTTCTTGCGTTTCTTGGCACGTTCCCGTTCGATCTGTTCTTCGCGCTTAGCGTCCTCCAACAACTGCGATCGTCTCGCTAGATCTTCTTGTCGTAAAGTATTGAACGAGTCTTCGCAGCTAACACGTAAGATATCCGTCGCCGTGAGCTCCATGTGGCCTCCTCCAGCCCTCTGTGTCTTCTGTAAAGCGTCTAGAGCCTGCGCTTGCGAGTCACCACGCTGTTTCGAGATCTCCACCATTTCTTCAATCACTTGCTTCAAGTATACATGGAGAGCATACGCCATCACGTCGCTGGATTGGCCTCCAAGCTGGACACCTGACCGCCTACTGACTTCGCTGACCTGGGCGCGCAGTTTCTCGGAATTAAATAAGTCTTTCTCCACCCACTCTTCCTTCTTACATGGCAACTGCTCGGCCATACGCACACGACGCACACCTTCCATCATGATCCGTCGTTCCGTGCCCAGCTCAATGTTCGTGTGTGTCAACACATCAGCCTCTTTGCGGATATCTGCGACGCTGGCTTGAGCGAGTTCTTGACTCACCAATTCGGACGCGGCCGCACTCAGCGCTGCTACCTCTGCAGCTGTAGCTTTCCCGCGACTGGTGGAATTCGTACGAGGCTTCTTCAAAGGAGAACGTGGCGTCGGTGATACGGCCGTGCTGTTACGTTTCAATGCTCCCGAAGGCGACGAAGTTACAGATGGAGCGGTAGTGCTTACAGTCGGGACAAACGGCTTGACGGCTGGCGGTGATGGCGCTGGTATGGCTGGAAGTATCGGTAACAACCCGATCTTACACATGGGGCAGTTCGCAGTATTATTCTTCGCCAGACAGGTCTTGTAGTGGCCGTACACTTGCTTGTACGTTTTAGCGCGAGCCTAGCAACATAAAACATTAGAAATCAACTGAAATCCATCAGAAGCGGATGGTGAGCCTACCGGTGGGTTTGGAGAGCTCATCTGCTTCATGATGGCCTTCGACTCGGCGCATTCTTCGCCAACAGGACACGCCACGGTCGTACATTTTTCCACGTGAAGAATTAACTGCAATAGTCGACCGTATTCCTGGGTCATATTGGCAGTAACGTTCTTCTGTTGAGGTTTGGCAGGGGTGGAAGCGCTCGTGATGGTAGGAGTCGACACCGTCGAAGGCCCGGGCGACGAACTGTTCGTCCTCGGGAGCGACGCGTTCGACACTTTACGCTTCAGAGGCGCGTTCTTCGGCGATTTGGTCTTTGCGTTCTTCTTGGCTTTCACAGCAGAAGACAAAGGCGTGTTGTCGTCGTCGTCATCGCTTCCTGCACCGCGTCTAACACCCGCAGCTTGCGCGGCCTTCGCCTTCGCTGCCAACGTCGCTTGATTCTGAGCATATGTACGTCTTAAGCCATCGCAGAACGGGATCGAGCAGTGGTCTGTGATCCCCACAGCACACTCCTTCGCGTGGTACTTCACCAGTCCTTTAAGCTGCTCACAGTGCGAACATCCGTTCGTTCCTCCACACGACAAGCTGTGCTTGAACACTCGACGCACATCGTCACACTTCTTAACCTGACAAACACCGTGGCCCAGCGAACACGTGGCTGCATGGGACAACAACCGCTTGGCAAACATGATTTTCTCCAGCGCTTCATTCCTCGATTGAGCGACCGCCGACGCAGCATTAGGAGGCGACGTGGTTGTAGTCGTAGCGGTTCCGGTGGTCGTAGCTGTGGTTGCAGGCTCAGGTTTCACCCCAGTCTTCGCTGGCGGCGTGCTGACTGTCCCTGCTGATGGATGAATCGATGTCGGCCTCGTAATCTGCGCAGCAATCGACGCCGGCATCGCCACAGGCGCCGCAGCGAGAGTCGGCGGTGCAGCAGCAATAGGCCGCGTGTTCGGAGCAATAGCCGTAACTTTCGGTGACGCAGTGGTCGTCACTGCACTCCTGGCCGCTATAGGTCTGCCCATAGCTCCAGCATTGGTCGCTGATGCTCCTGGTTCCGGCTTAACAGCGTTAAAAGTTCCCTAGTATCGTACATACAGTCAGCTTCGAGGTGTACGTTATACCTGATGCGCGTGCTGTCTTACCGGCGTATTATTGGTGGGAAAAGTCCGTGTTAAGTCCATCTTCTGGATGACACTGGAGAAGATTGCGTCGCCTGCGATCCGCTTGATAATATCCACGATGGATTTAATGTCGTTGCCGTTACCCTTGCGCATCTCCGAGTGCAGCGCCGCGTACTGCTCTACAGGTAACATTTGCTTCAGTAATGCGAACATTTGCTGAAACATTTGCTGTCCCGAGCCGGGCGACTGCTTGGCCGGTGTGGCGACCGGTACGGCGGATACAGCGGGCGCAGGAGTGGGCGCTAGAGGCTGCGGCTGTGGACGGATGGGAGTGGCGCCTGCGGGAGGCGTGATCGGCTTCGATACGGGTGCTAATAGACCCCCCGGGGGCGCTACAGCAGCGGCGAGTGGGACGCCACTGAACGAGCGCATGGAGGCTGTGCGATGAAGGGCGTTTCAGGACAGACAGAGCGTTGTTAGAGGCGAGAAAGGGACGAACGGATAGAGGAGACGCAGACGCACGTACTGTTCATATCGTCTTCATCTCCAGAGTCGTCACCGCCGAACAGCAGGTCGTCAATGGGAGCGCTCATGATACAACGAGATAAAAACCCCGCTTTGTTCTCTTGCCAAAGCAAAAGGAAGAGTGAATGCGGTTTGTTTGAGGTGGCGGGGAGATGAGGTTGTATGAAGGTTGTACGAAACGTGGGAGACAAGGTTGTACGAAGAGTGCACGAAGTAAAGTTGCACAAAGGAAAGTTGCGCGTAAGCCAAGAAGACATCCAATATCCGGATGCATTTATCCGGATGGTATTAACTAGTGTACATAAAGTGTCTTTTGGATTGTATTGGATGTATTGAATGGTCGTAAGTTGGATTTTGTATTACGACCAATAAATTCTGTCAAGGCTAGGCCCGTTCTCAACCGAAGCGTTTTTCGGACGCATGCGTGCTAAACAACCACTTTGCGATTTGATGGGCTGTGCAATCGGCCCATAGGCAGCACGTTTTGTTCGAGTTTTAGCTAATCAATGACCTTCCCTAACCAAACAGTTTTACTCTCCCTTTTGCCTCCAAGGTAGCAGTGTTTTACAGTCAAGATCGCAACAACAATGGCTCTGTATCCCCAAAGATCTCCAAGTGGACCTGAGCGAGAGAGACGATGCATCCCTGCTGCACGCCAACGCCGCAGCCTGTCCACCGATTTTTTTTCGTACGGCTCCTACGCAAGATGCCCCTCCGCGATTAAACCAGCAGGGCTCGTTAATTACCAGTAGTTTGGTAGCGATTTACATAGTGTCAGGCTAGAACTACTTGAACACAACATGACTGGCTATTATTCTGCCAATGATAGTCAAGTATTTTGAATTGCGATGTTTCGATGTTTAAGGTACGCATGCGTTGCATGCGTCTCGGTTGAAAACGGGCCTTTTGGCAACGAGTACCTTGTGTGATTACGTTTTGATGTCGTTTACTCGAAGGGCCAGGCTTTACCAAGGTTGAGCAAGAAGTAATCGTCGTTCACAGGGACCTGTACGCCTCCGAAGCTTTGGTCGTCGTTGAGCGCCTCCTGGGCTTCGGGGGTCAGTTGGTGCCACAACACGAGGTTTTGGGCGCCACCTTCCTTGGTCGTGCTCTCCAACGCGTTGTTGTTGTAGGCGATCTTGACGCTCTTGCCGCTTATCATGCTGGCGTCAGGAGGCACTTGAGAGGAGTATTTGCCGGTCGAATCCGACGTGGTGACAGCCAAGATGACTTGGTTCGTGACATTTGGGTTGTTAGTCCACACGATGACGTGCTCCCAGTCTGGTGAGACATCGGGGAAGTACCAGGCATACATGATAGCCCAGACCCTGCCGAACCAGGCAGAACGACCATAGACCTGCGTGCCCAACTTCGATCCACTGCATTCGGCGTCCGTGGCATCGGCCTTCTGCAGTCCCTTGCTGACTTGACCGGCAGCGTTCACGGCAGGGTACGGGTGGCACCCGTTGACGACGTGAAGCTTGGGTCTGAACTTGATGGCAGCCTTTTCAGTCACCGTAGCATCGGAAGGCTGCGCCATCTCGAACGGCTCCACCTGGTCGTATGCGATCGTAGGCTCTTTGGAGGCCGACTTCTTATCCGTCGATGGCGTTGCAGCCTCTTGCGTGGTATCTTGTATCGTGGGGTCCAGTTGAGCCTCCGGCATTGTCGCCAGCGGCGTCGGTGCCGGTGTCCCGTCCTTCGTCTCCTTCGTTTTCTGGGCCTCCGTTGCGGCAAGGAAAACGGCGACGACACCGAGGAGAGTAGCGATTCTCATTTGGACGGTTGGATTCTTTGGCAGTTGGAGAGCTCCGTGGAGAATTGACAAGTGATCAAGTTGCCTTGCAGCGCAGCACGCTGGTTGAAAAACGCACCAACTGGAATGACGGAACAGCGGGGAACAGCCCAGTCGAAAGGGCATTGCTGCTGCAGGTACGGATTCAAGTACACGTACGTCGAAGTAATATACCATACTGTAACATTTCAGTGGCGTATTGCACGGTTTACGAACCTTCGTGTGATCGCGGATCACGGCTCGGGATTCGCTCTCTCATCATTGCATGATATGCTGTATTTAATCAACTTGTTTTTGCTGTACAACTGGGGTAATATCAATCGATTCTGCCAAGTTCCCGCTTCCCGTGGTCAATCCGGAACTGTCTCCTCCGATCCTGGAAGCGAGCATTTCGCAATACCGGCTCCAGCCATAGCCTTTCCACTTGTACTTCGTTCGCCATTGGAGTTGTCTTGCCTCCAGCTTCGAAGTACCTACCGTATTAGAACTCTCCTACTTTTCAGATCTCGAATATCTACTTGCATTGAGTACGTTTGCTCCAAACTACCATAGGTCGAAGGGAAGTCAGTGGCTGTGGATGCCACTGCAGCACAATCGATCACGTTGCGGGTGGTTCAATGATCCGTACTGACCCTGACTGAAAGAGAATCGATTAGGTAGTATGAAACCTGTACTATCAGTAAGGCTCGTTTATTTAGTTATGCCATGTCAAGCGTGTGCTGTACGAAGGAAAGAAAATCGCACAGACATATCCGTGAAAAACACAGATTGTGAAAAAAGGTGCTTTTAAGAGAGGGCGGTAGTGAGCGGGTGTCAGGAGCGTAGCAGAAGCAAACCCGAGCGGGGTGCCCGCGAAGCAGGGCCGCTCGGTATTTGCGTAGGCGGGCCCAGCGACGAACTCACCTGCGAACGGACCCGTAACACTCTCCAGAACATGTTTTTTTCTAATGCGGGGGTCTGGAGATGACCCCAGTATGCTTTTAGTAGTGGCCCTTATCTGGTATACCGATATTTCTGTGGAATTCATCCGTAGGTTCTGTGGATTTGCTTATTCTGTCTGTGCTATTCTACCGCTCTCGTGCTGTACACTATCGACCCCGCTCTACTCCAGCATCGGGGATCGAACCCGGGACCTGTACTGAGTATGTCGGGAACTGCTGATCTTAGACGTTTTCGCTTTCGATAATGAAAGTTGTGTTTCCACTCCTGTGGTAATGTAAACCACAGGAGTGGAAGCACATTTGGGCCGTGTGCGTAGCACGCGGTTCGTAAACACAAGCTGACGCAGGCGAGAACGATTTCCTGTGGTTTGAGGATCGAGTGCGGAGCACTCGGACGACAACCCTGGTGCTGTTGCTTTGATTACAGGTTCATCAACTGCTGGCTGACACTCACTAATCGCCTTTTGAGCCGCGCTGTTTGTTGGTTCACCTTTAAGGGGTTCTCAGGAAAATGTACTTGCACATTGTTACTATTTCTATAAACTTTTTATGAAGTATATATTTTTATTATAGGAAATGAAACTTCATAATAGTGAGTTCACTGTCATTAAAATGAACTCACTGGTATTATTAATAATAAGTAGTTTCTAAAATTGGTGAATTTCTTTGTCAGAAATAAAATAATTCCATGGTGGGATAGGATTGGCTAAAATACACTCTGTGTTTCTCTCAGTCAAGAACTATCCGCGAAAAAAACATGAAGCGCGCTGCGGTGTGTATGGCGAAAGGAGTGTCTTCTCCGACGAGATCGAGCACAATGCAGATGTGGAGGCGCTGGAGGAGGCCTCCTTCTACAGGAAAAGATACAAGTAAAGATACGATCACCGGTACAAATTCGCTCCGGGCGGATTGACGTTGCACTTGGCGCGGAAGACGGAAGGGAAAGAATAATAAATGCATGAAGCACGACTGCAGCACGGAAATGTTTTTGCAAGGCGGCATTGTCACTGGTTGTGACAAGATGCTTTCCTTGTCGAAGCCTACTAAAGCGGAGTTGCTTGCCTAGCCCTGAGAAGAAGAAATTCACGTGTTGGTGGAACTCCCAGAAGCTGCGGTGGCCAATAAGAAGCAGCGCCTGGAGTGGCGATCGACTCTGTGAGGGTCACACGCTTCTGACTCGAGCTCACTGTACTCCTTGCTGGAGAAAGAGGATATGGACGAGTCCGGATTTCTACCCATTGGCTTGATGCTCTACTGCAGGCCCACATTCCACCGCCGATTCGAGTTCTTGTGCGATAAGGGATTGAACGAAAGTCGTTTGGGCTGGATTTTCGGCCCTGCCGGAACTGGAAATTCAATCACTGTCATGGTTTTCACGTCGCCTGTGATCAGATGTGAATGATAGTGACGTGGATTCACTATCAACATGTGGAGAAGGACACGGATCTAGAATGAGTGCGTCTTGTCGGCGAAGAAAGAAAGACTCGAACCATTAAAGTTGCGGACGTGGATGATGTTTTGCAGATCGATAAGACCAAGAAGCATCTGCTGCTCGTTGATGGCTGGACAGCTGCAGACCCCTTCACTAATCTGACCATCAAGTTTCACCGATGGTTGAAGAGAGATCTTGTCAAGCAGTGGCTCGCGTTTGTGTGTTCGGTAGCTTCTCGTGGTAAAGCTCAAGAGGGAACGGATATCCGGATGCGCGCCATGGAATTCGAGGTGTGGCCGTGAGACTTGAATGAATACCTTGATGCGATGAAATTTTTGTATGGGTAAGGTGGCTTTGCTGGATGCTCCAGGTAGCGTATACGGACCTGGGTCCCCTGAGGAAATGGTAGAGTCGAAGTATCGCTATGCTGGTGCATCATGTCGTTACGTGTTTGACTTTACGACTACCGACGTCGAAAACAGACTTTGCCGGGCTGTGGACTCCGAATCAGATGTTATGTTGCGACTCTTTCTACTGACGGGCACCGTTCACCGCTTGGTATCATCGACTCTACGCGATGTTTAAGATGTTAGATTGGGAAGGTACTGTATCGCCGTTGATCAATCAGTATGCTGCTACAACAGTTGCTATATTATGCGGTTCATCAAGAAGTTCATGTCGACGATCGTGACAATTTAAACCCAGCATTGAATGAATGGATAATGAAGATGGTGTTCGTCGCAAGTCTTCGACATGGCGTACTCATTCTTGTTGATGCGCCAAGAATAAGCTTTGTTCGTGGAGGCAATCAGTTGTTGTGATTTTGGATGGAGTACCCGCGCTTTCTTCTGCTCACCCCGTTTGGATTACGCCTAAAAAATGGAACCAAGGTGCATACGCTGCTTTGATGGTGAGTAAACGTACTCAGCACGAGCGTTTGGTGCATATGACGAGTGTCCACAAGCATTCTTTTCGCATTCATCAATTTCTCGGATGGCTGAAGATTCTGTCTGATTCGCTGGAAAGTGCTGAGGTGAAGACATTGGGGATACTCTTTGTGGTCGAGCAAGACAAACTAAGCGCGTTCGAATTCACAACAGTGGAGGTGGACTCATGTTACCGTTCGGTTGGCCGAAAGGGAAGGAGACTGAACTAGTTCAACTTAATAGGATCTGAGGCTTATATAATCTCTCAGTAGCGTTTTCTTGTATACATGCTCGCTTTTCTGAAGTTACTTACTATAACTCAGAATTTCATTGCGGTTACTATGCATATGCAGATAATATTAGACTTCATTTTCGCTATGCATACACACTGAATAAGCATATTTAGCGCTAAATTTGCCCCCATTAAACATCGGATCTGTTGAGCATCGGAAGTGCTGGAAGCTCTCAATTAAACGCCTCAATTTACACATGGTCGATCTACTGGTGCAAAAGATCTCTAAACCAAAATTCGAACTGGTGGATAATGCGCTACTGGGACTTCGCGTATTCCTAGTAGAATATGCTTTTAGAATAGTACTAATATTGCACGCAATATGCTACTGTAGTAATATCTGTGTAATACTGTAAATCTCAACCCGTAGCATATTATCTATACTAGTAGTACAACTGCTATGGTGCAATTTAGTATTATTTTAGGACCACTGTCAATCAGTCGTGATAGGGTTCCGAGATATAAAATATTATTAAAATAGTGAGGGACATATTAACTGAGCAAAGAGCAATATGCACCTGTTGTTCTCCCATGCACTTTTAATACAATAGAGAACTTTAGTTCCTGGAGTGACTCGAGGTTTTGGAACAACGATTGTCAGTAAAAGGGTTTTACCCCTTTGGTAAAAAAAATAATCCAGTGGAACAGCGCAATCTTTCGTTATTCCATTGGAACCAAGTATTGAAAGATCTATGGGTAATCTATCCGTTATTTATTTAGATTTTATCCAGATTGTTGCTGTTTCGCTGTTCCAAGAACTAAAGCTCTCTAATATCTTGTATTATAAAACGTAGTCGGGTGAGTTCAAAGACGACACAAAACGTAGTCAAAGAGCAGAACAACGGATCCCTGTTAGTTCTCATTCTACTGTTCAAATTCTTAACCTTCCCTCCATCATATAGTACGAAGAAGCTTAACCATTCGAATTCCATTTAGGAACGTGACACAAAGCAACCCAGATGCAATTAACATACATCAGCCTTGTCTGCACTCATCGATGTCCGCATTTCCAATTATAGCTGCCTTCGAGTGTGTCTGGCTCTCTGCCGTAAAGTCTGTTCACTCTAAGAATCTCAGCTTTTTCGCCTCGTCTTGCGGCAATAAGCAGTTGTAGTTACAGCAGCCTGATGGAGGCGAACACGTCGACAACGGTTACTCAAAGGAGTTTCAGTGTAACTTTGAATCAAGTTCTGTATTTTCGTACGCACCAGATGGGACCAATTACAAACTGGAGTAGAAAACATGGGAGTCGCCTTGTTTGCCTGAGCGCCAGTTCGATTCACCAGAGGCCGCTCTGAACGCCTACGCACAAGAACTATGGAGTCGTGCACGCGGGCATCTCCAAGTGCGGCACACTGAGTCGTGTATGCATGTGATCAACACGGTACAAATCGCACGTAGTAGCTTCACCCGAACGTGTGCAGGCGCAATGTTCCCTCCCGAAAGTGCGGGAGCCGTATGGAGGTGAGTGTAGAGCGTATGTGGTGGAGTGGGGGTTGCAAAATCACGTTGCGATCCACTCTGACACACAGTGCATCGCGGATCCCGGCTCGGGATTCGCTCGCTCATCATTGCATGAT